TGTCCCCTGCATTAGCAGGGGACACAGGTTCGAGCCCTGGTCTGGGAAGATCCCACACGCCGCGGAGCAACTAGGCCCGTGAGCCACAACTACTGAGCCTGCGCGTCTGGAGCCTGTGCTCCGCAACAAGAGAGGCCGCGATAGTGAGAGGCCCGCGCACCGCGATGAAGAGTGGCCCCCACTTGCCACAACGAGAGAAAGCCCTCGCACAGAAACGAAGACGCAACACAGCAAAAATTAATTAATTAATTAATAAACTTCTACCCCTCAACATCTTCTTAAAAAAAAAAAAAAACAAACCTAGAGCGTAGATCACTAAAGACCATATAACTTTCATTTCTAACAAATCAACATAAAACAGTTACTAACAAAGGTATTGTTTTTAGAGATTGACAATAATCTTCAACATAAAATGTTTCCATGAAAATCTATGTAAATGTTTCCATTTTCCTGAACAAAACGATAATATAACTAAAATATCCATGTTACATTAAGTATCATACTCTGATTTCCAAGTTCTGAATGATTCAAGATAGTAATACAAAAAAATAAATGCCTTTGCTAAATATTTTCCTACCATATTCTTTCAAAATTCTAACAGTTAATTCATTTGATACGGTTTCAGTAGACTGCGTACCATATTTGCCAAATTCATAGCTGAGATAAAGATTACAAAAACACCTAGAAGATGAAAAGTTTCAAAGTGGTATAAAATCTATCTTTCAAGACATAATCAAAGATGTCACAAAGAAATCAAAGATTTTAGAAATGACAACACAATTTACCAAAATACTAACATATTGTAAAATGTGTGCATTTCCTCTAAAATATGTAAAACCTCTAAAACCTCTAAGTTTTCCTCTAAAACCTCTGTAAAACAGACTTAGATAAAATACTTAAAATCACTATTATGAAACATGGAGAGGATATTTTATAAAACAAGCCTTCCACTTTTAAGAAAGCCACAAATTATAACTCACAAAATCAAGGTTTTAGGTGCGGCCTCAAATTCAATTTTCTTAAGTATGAAATCATAGTACTTAAGTTCAGTAAAGAATAATTTTACATAGTAAAACTGCAGTACTTGAAAGTTCTACAAGACAAAATTGTGCAACATGGCTTTATTTCTGTAGGTTTTCTTTGTGTGTACAAAATCACATGGAATGTTAAGACCATAAATATTAAGTTGTTTGTAGTAAAATCCACTATTCAGACTGGGGACTGGTGCTCTTTCCTATGATTCTTCTCCACATTTCCAGGCTCTATCATAGCAGACAATACTTATATCACTAACTTTAAGTAGAAACCTCTCAGAGTTATTTCTGACTTCAAATATCCATTTCATCACCAAATTCTATTGTCCTCTGTTACCACTTCTCTGTTGCAACATTCCTTCACCTATATCCTTATTCCTGACCCTAGACTTCTCCCCCTAAACTACTGTACCTCATTCTCATGAGATAGTTTCCCTAGATTGTCTTTAATTCCACTGCCAAAGTTATCTTCTCTCATTGACATTCTGCTCGTGCCACCTACCTATCCTACCTGAGCATTCCAGGGCCTTTGCATTACATTTTTTTTTCTGCTCAAGAGCCTCACTCTCAGCAACATATTCATTTATAAGGTTGCCACTGACTTTCAACTCCCCTTTAAAATGTCAGTTTCTTCTTAGCCCTGCTAAATGTACCAAATTATCCCTTCAGGTAATCACATTTGCTCCTAATCCATCTGAGTATGGAATACCTTTTATATTTAGCTCTCAATCACACAAGTAATTTATTTAGACAATTTTAGCACAGTGATGACATACACTGTTTCTTTAGTTGTTTGCATACCAATGTCATCCCTACTGGACTGCAGAGACACAGATAAGGGCTGCATCTTTCAAAGCATTCTGTACAACAGCTATCTACAATGTCACTTAACCCAGGTAGGATGATTCATTAAATAAAACTATTATAGAAAGCTTAAATAAAAAAAATTTTTTAATCTCTATGGTTTAACTTTAAAACATCTATGACCTTTCATTTCCATGGACAGTTGACATACTTTGGTTTCTATTAAGCTTCATTCTCACTACTCTAATAATTTTCAAAGCACAGCTAGAATTTAAAGTGCAAGTTGAGGGTTGATATAGGGTATATACTTTTACACCCCGCAATTAGATTCTTTGAAAATCAGCAATGTCAACTCCAAGATTTCTGAGTTACAACTGAATCTTCACACAAGGCAAGAACTTCAGCACCAAAAGAAAAGAACAGCGCATCTTGTAATGGGGGGGCGGGGGAGGGTCCCTTCCCTGCAACTGGTTTAGACTAGTTTCTCTATCGCAGGGGCTTTCAATTAGGAAAATTCAATAAATCACCATTAACATCTGGAAACAATATCAGAGAAAGGCGACCCAGCTACTTAAAAGACAGGAAGGGGTACCATGGAAATCTTTTTCATAAAACTCAGCAGCCAAATTAAGCTTTGCATTTTTTATCTTACCAAGAGAGATTTTTTTCTACCTAATAATAAAAGCAAGTCTCATTCAATTCAGTTCCTTCTCGAGCACCGTCTCAACCTGTCAGAATTTGACAAGGGAAAAAAATCTTAAAGTGTGTGTGCGTGTGTGTGTGTGTGTGTGTTGGGGGGGCGGGAGGTGGGAGGAGAACACCAGGATTCCCGTCTACCTCGCTTCTTTTTCCGAAATCATCAAGTCCTGGATTTCCTTCACTCCGAACTAAGCCCTCAGGTTCCAAATATAGCTCTTTAACCCCCACCTCGCCACTCAATTACACAGAAACCTTACCAACCACAGAACCACAGCAGAAACCCCTACAAATCGGCTTGCTATTCATCTCGGAAATCATGCCCTGCAGCAACTGCCTGTCGCCGAACTGAGGGATGTTACCCAAATACAGCGCAACGGAATCAGACATGCAGAGCACACACGGCTTCCGCGAGGGAGGGAAACGCGACCCGGGAAAAGTGCGCTCCTCAGAAGCCTCGGGACCATCCGGGCGGGGGGTGGTCCCCGAAGGGAGGGGAACAGAGGAGCCCGAGTGGGGGAATCCTTCCCTCTCAAGTAAAAAGGGCTGGATCCCTGGCCGCAGATAACAGTCTGTCCCTCTAAGAAAACGAAGAGGCGGGCAGAGGGCCCTTTGCTTGGGAAGGAGGAATGCAAACACTTTCCGAGGTCCGGGTGCAAGCCGATCCCCCACCTCCCGAGGGAGACGAGGGGTGTCCCGTGAGTGGCTGAGGGGATTCCCGGCTCGCGAGGGGCAGCTGGAGGCGGAGCAGAGTTTCGCCTAACGAACACCCGTATCGGCTCCGGCCGGTGCCCCGCGAAAGCACGCCTAGAGCAGAGCGTGGGGGGAAGGGAGAGGAGGGAGGGGGTGGAAATGGGATTCCCCCCTCTCTGGGACCAGCAGTAACGGAGGAAGCGCGCGGGCCAGCCGAGAGCGGCGTGCTCCAGCCTGCGGAGCCGGGATCCCGCCGCCTGCGCTGGCAGCAAGGAGCCCCGCAGCGGCCGCCGCACCGGCCCCTCTGTCCCCAGGGGCCCAGGACTTCGGTTGCGAAAGCAGTGGGACCTGACATCCCACGGGGTCGGCCGCAGCTCCCGGGGGACCCCGCGAGAACACCCCAACCTCCAGCAGTTCTCAACGGTTGTAAAACGTCCGCCCCCCCCCCCAGTCCCCTTCCTCAGCCTTCGCTCCTCCCGAGGCCACAGAGAAGGGTCACCACAGGCGAGAAGCCTGAGGCAAGCCGGGGACAGCAGCCGCGGCGGTCCTGGACCTCCTCGCGCGGTTACCTGTGAGGACTCCGACCCGGATTTGATGGTCGTGGTTAGTTAGGATCATTCCCTCGGTCGCCATGTTTCCCAGCGCAGTCACCGCACTGACGGGAGCCGGGAAAAGCCAGAGGCCGGAGCGCGCGGGCCGGGAGCGCGCTCGCCTGGGAAAGCGCGAGAGCGCCTGGGAAGCGCGAGGCAAGCGCGAGGCGAGCGCTCGGCGGCCTGCGCGAGTGAGAGGCCGGGCCCCGAGGGCGCGAGTCCGCGGGGGGAAGTAGGCGGAGTCAGGGCGCGCGACCCGGAGTCCGGGTCCGAGACAGCGAGCTGCGGGTGGGTTACGCGGTGGCTGCTGAAGGAGAGCGCGCGGAGGCGTAGGAACGAGGCGGGAGAGACTCCCGTCGCTTTGCGGAGCGCGAGACCCAGGGCCGCTGGACGGCAGGAGACTGAGGGGAAAGGAGAGCACAAGCTCGGGAGGTCGCGGGGGCGGACTCGGGGACAGGGGCGGAGCTACACCGCGAATCGTGGAACTCGTGGCGGGTGAGGGGAGGAGTAAGAACTCGGTTCCGAGGGCTGGGAGCGGGAAGGAGCCGGCGCAGCCCGATCAGAACCGGCGAACGCTGCTGGGCGCGCGAGTAGCGCGGGATTGGTTGGGAGAACGCGGGTGCGCGCGAGACGTGAACGCTGCCTCAGCCGAGCTCCAGACAGAAGCAATCTCCTGCCGAGCCCGGCGTTTGTCAGCTACTCCCGGCGGCTGTTGGGGCGGCAAAGCAGCTCTCCCGAGGGGAAGAGGAAAGGCTCCAGGGACCCTGGAGGTGCCTTAGAAAGCTGCGTGGGTGGCAGAACCGCAGCTGCTGTGACAGCCCGCGGTTGGCGAGGAAGGAGGTATCCTATCCTGCCTTATCTTCCCGCTTGCCGCCCTACCGTAGGATTTCCCAAGTCCAGGTCCAAGTCTGTACCTTCAGGAGGATCCTCACTAGCGAAGCTTAGGAGCCTGCGGCAGAGCATCTTGAGGAGAGATAGCTGGCTTCTCTTTCTCCCGCTGTCGCATGGTTTTGTGGCATCAGGCTTCTTCGCTAAAGGCTCTGCTTTTAGGTGAAAAGCACCAATCTTAGAGAATGAGATTAGAGAATGTTCCTCCCCCCTGAGCCACAATCACAAACCTGGAAATAGAACCCCGGTGGTGGCAATTTTCATTTCAGTATTTGTGGGATATGAGGTTACCATGAAAATAGCTTTTGTTGCCACTTACCTTCATGTGTCTTTCATAAAGTGTGATATGAATCACCTGTGGCTATTTCAATGGGTTTCTTAGTTCCTTTCTTTCTAGCCCTTTCAACTAATGAATAAAAAACATATACACACACATGTATATGTATTTTTTTTCTCAGCTTTGGTAAAACCGGGAAGCATACAAATGAAAAGCAAAATGTCAAAAAAAATGTATAATCGTCATTTGTATACAATTAAAATCTCAGTTTGATGGTTATGTTTTATTGTGCCAATGAGAACGTGGACTTACTCTCTAACTGAAGAGTCACATTGTTATGTATTTCATTTTAAATAATGGGAGTACAAAGGAGATGATGGGTGGAATTGAGGTGGGAGAAAATTAATCAGTAAAATTTCTTTTGAGTATGTGTATTGCTAGTATTTTTGACAGTGGATTTAAAATTGAAGCCAGATCATGAACCCACCTCCTATAATAATCTATCACCATAGAGCCTGGGAGCCAATGGATTCTTAACTAGTTTCAAATGAGAGATATATATGTGAAAGTATGTTTTCTTTATTTCAAACTAAAGATGAGAAAATGGTTGGTTACATTGCCTTTCTATCTTTATTCCCTCTAGCGCCCCCAAATTTGAAATGATTTTTAAATGTCTTGAATTTTCAGAGAGATAAATTCTAATTCTGCCCACTATAGGTTCTGTAAACGTAAATGAATTGGGGTCTTTTTCTTTATCGTTTATATAAACTGGTAGATAAGCACCCTTTCAATTTACAATATTCCGTTATTATTCATGGAAAGAAACTGGCACTTTTGTTTCACAAATAACAGAAAACAAGGGACTTTCTGTATCTATAAAAGCAGCAATGGTGAAATTCATTAAAATTTTCACTCGGGACTTCCCTGATGGCGCAGTGGTTAAGAATCTGCCTGCCAATTCAGGGGACACGGGTTCGAGCCCAGGTCCGGTAAGATCCCACATGCCGCAGAGCAACTAAGGCCGTGCGCCACAACTACTGAGCCTGCGCTCTAGAGCCCGCGAGCCACAACTATTGAAGCCCACATGCTGCAACTACTGAAGCCTGTGTTCCGCAACGAGAAGTCACCGCAGTGAGAAGCCCATGCACTGCAACGAAGAGTAGCCCCCACTCACCGCAACTAGAGAAAGCCCGCGCGCAGCAACGAAGACCCAATGCAGCCAAAAATAAATAAATAAATAATAAATGTATAAAAAAATTTTTAATTGGGAAGGGTGAAGATGAATTAAGCCTTTTTAAAGTATATGGAGGTTAGTTTGTTAAACCTGCTAAAATTGCTGAAAAGAAGTAATGTTAATAGAATTAAACTGGACAATTATAATAGATGCTTGTCTTTCAACAATTTTCCTCAAGTATATTCATCTCAGCTGAATTTAGGAAGCTCTAAGAAAATTTACACAGGAAAAGCCTAGTGACCTTGCTGTCTAGTGGGACTTTTTGTTTTACTGCTGGTTATTGAATGAATATTGCAGTATCCACATGCTTTTTAACTCCTGTTACCATGTGACATTTCTTCAGAATTCATCTGGGAATCAAGTGTTACAACAAAGAAAACTTTCTGGAAAGTAGGAAGAGAGTAGCATTTCCAAAGATTTATAAATGTCTCAGGAACATATTTGGGGGGGGGAGAAAGTGGAAAAGTTCAGAGTTTGTATATAAAGCATTAGAAGTGCCCAGGGATTTATTCTCTCCATTCCTGAGATATTAATAATGAAAATTGAGTTTACACTGAGAACACAAAAGATGGGTAAACACTTGGCTGTCATAATGATTTTCATTATAAAGGTGAAAGTTTATCAGTAGAAGTGAATTACTGAATGAAGAACAGTTGAGTTTTTCTGGTACTGGTATATTTACATTTAGTCCTCCTAGTACTTTAGTTTTCCTGTGGTTAATCACACTTTCAATATAAATAAGGCAAAAGTTTACTGGCTTTTCTGGGGTTAGACTCTCCTCATTAGCACTAGATGTAAGCAAGAACAAAGTTGGCAATGCATTATTCTTCCACTAAGGCTTATTCTACTCTTGCCTCTTTCCCAATTGGCTAATAGCCACAACTGAGTGGATTACAAATGGGTGCAAGCAACATTTTGAATATACTTAATGCCACTGAACTGTACACTTTAAAATGATTAAAATGGTAAATTTTGTTTGGTGTAGTTAGCACAATTTTTTAAAAACTGGATGTAAGGTGAAGCTCTGGTTGATTTAAACATAGTATTTTCCCCAAAGGAAGGGTGATAGAGTTAAGATGAACCTTTGACTGACTGAATCAGGCAAGGTATTAGTTCCTAGGGCTGCCATAACTAAGTACAACAAACTCAGTGACTTAAAACAACAGAAATTTATTCTCTCATGGTTCTGGAGGCCAGAAATCTAAAATCAATGTGTCAGCAAAGCCATGCTCACTCAATTCTCTTGAGAAGAATTCTTCCCTTGCCTCTTTCTAGCCTCCAGTGGTTGCCTGCCATCCTTGGCGTTCCTTGACTTACAGTTGCATCACTCAGTCTTTGCCTTTGTCTTCACATGGCCTTCTTCCCTGTGTGTATTTTTACTTGCCCTTCTTCTAATGATACCAGTCATTGGATTTAGGGCCCATATTAATCCACTATGACCTCATCTTAACTAATCACATCTCCAAAGACCCTATTTCCAAATTCCAAGGTTCTATGTGGATGTGAAATTTGAGGGGACACTATTCAACCCAGTACAGGTGGTAATAGATTACATTACTGTGTAAACATATAAATTACAAACTCAGCCTATTAGAAAAGAATGTTCAGAAGTTTCTCTAAAAGCTAGATTTAGGGACTTCCCTGGTGGCGCAGTGGTTAAGAATCTACCTGCCAATGCTGGGGACACTCGTTCGATTCCTGGTCTGGGAAGATCCCACGTGCCGCGGAGCAACTAAGCCCCTGCGCCATGACTACTAAGTGTGCGCTCTAGAGCCTGCAAGCCACAACTACTGAAGCCCACAGGCGTAGAGCCCATGCTCCACAACAAGAGAAGCCACTGCAATGAGAAGCCTGCACACCACAACAAAGAGCAGCCCCCGCTCAATGTAACTAGAGAAAGCCCGTGCGCAGCAACGAAGACCCAATGCAGCCAAAAATAAATAATTTTTCAAAAGAAATAAAAAGCTGAGATTTAGAAATTAGACACATTTTTAGAGAAAATACAGCTCTATAGAATAGAGAATACTGGGGAAATTTAAAATTTTTGACCTAAATAGCCTAATGCTTTCCCCCCCAGAAGTAGTTTTCAAAATTAGAAATTTCCAAAGTCTAATAAGATAAATTTAGTCAGTCCTACTAATGAAATTGACATTTTGGTTTTAGTTCTGATGCCCTTGTTATCTTTTAGTAAAGTGGAGCTGAGCCACATCGATTTCTCATGGAGTTTGATGACACTTATTTGGGAACAACTAGGACAATGTTTTCCGATGTCTGCCATGTTTATTAAAATTAATTGAACTTTTCCTTCCTTGGGCTTTTGATATTATATTCTGCTGCCCAGATTGCTGCTTGAATAATTTTGTGCCACAGTCCTTTGTATTTTTCCTCACACTTACTCTCTTCCTCTGAGGTCCCCAACTGGAAATCCAGATGAATGAGGCTGTTTTTGGTTGCAAGTGACTGATGCTAGTTTAAGCCTAAAGGAATTCATTGGCTCACGCAGCTAGGAAGTTCAGACGTGTATTGGCTTCTGTAAGCTATAATTTAGATGAGTAGTTTTCGAGTCCATCTAGGGACACCGGGAGACTCCAAGATCTTTTCAGAGGGTCTACAAAGTCAAAAGTATTTTCATACTAATACTAAGCCATTATGTGCCTTTTTCCTCTCATTTTCTCATTAGATACGGTAGAATTTTCCAGAGGCTACGTGACGTGTAGTGATGTCATCACTCTGATAGCTAATGGAATGTGTGTTTGTATATTCTCATATTTTAAAAATTTTAATATAGTAAATACCAATAGGTATAACCTACTTAAACAAAAGCTCTTTGGAGTCCTCAATAATTTTTAAGAGTGTAAAGGTGTCCTGAGACCAAAATCTTGAAAACCACAAATTTAGGTCATGGAGAGTGATGTGAGGTGAGAACTCCACCAACCCTAAAAGGTCTCTCCCCTAGAATCTCCAGAAAGGAACACAGCCCCGCTAGTACCTTGGATTTAGCCCAGGAAAAGTCCAAGCTACAGAAAGTTTTTCTAGGTTTGACCAATGGGAAGCAGCAGATGCCTATAGGAGGGAACAAGAATGTCTGAGCCGTGTGGATGAAAGGCTTTTGGTGCTCCAGCCAGGAGTCAGGGCTCTGCCTCTGAGCTAGGAGAGCCAACTTCAGGACACTGGTCAACA